TCCCCAGCTTCCAAATGACGTTCTAGCAAGTCTACCACTGGCACTAGGTCTACGGCTTCATCAACTACCGCGATATTTGCTGAGAAACGGAGCCCTGGGTCGGATTGACCCCATTGACAAGTACGTCATTACCTCTGGGATGAATAGCGAGGGTCATGGTCAAGGGATAGGAGCGCATCTCAATCACTTCGAAACCCCCGGCTGACGGGTCTACTACCGCGGCTGTTCGGCCGATAGTCCCGCCCAATATCTGGGTCTTGAGTAGGATTCGGGTCCCTGAGATTTGTGCCCCTGATTGTTCGGATGGAAATCACTGTCTTACGTGTCGTCGATTTGCTGATGGCTCCATCCCATTGTCTCTTGATTCCTGAGGAGCTGGGAGCACAGGAAGGGAGCATTCCTTCACTGGAACGAGCCATGAGAAACTTTGCGGGGTATGTCTTTTTCTAGGGTCATGAAAGGGCAGACGTGACTTGTTGGACGATCTAATGGTCGGTCCGAAAAGCGAATAGAGGCAAACGACAGAAACAAAGATATGGATAGTGTGGCATACGGAGTGAGGTCCGCACCAGAGGACCACAGTTCATGTCTCCAAGCTTATGCGTTTCCGAATTGCAAGCATCAATGAGTTGCTTGCCTACGTAGTATGGTTGTTCTCTGGTCAATCCGTGGATGCAACTACTGTTTCCTCGCTTGGAGAAACAATGAGAGTAAGCTTAAGAATTGACTCCTGGAGACAGGCAGACAAAACTCTCGCGTTTGAAGGGCAGCGCAAAAGTCGGAAGTTTCTGGGAGTGTGGTGCAACGCGCCGCAAATCATTGGGACGACAAGCCTTGGCTGTTGGTGCCGTACTCTAGAAGTTCAGGTGGTTGGCGCACCGCCTCAATCGGTCAAGGTGCTGAAACTCGCTGCATGTGTCGCGGGCTGGGATCTTCCCTGGAAGTGGTGATCAGGGGAAGAAGATCTCGAGAAGGCTAGGCTGAGCTGAGCTGAGCTGGTGGTGTATTCGTACGGTGTGCTAGCTAGTGCATCCGTACGGCGGTGGCGACGGTAAAACCGTCGTGGATCAGAGGAGCTTCTTCCAACATCATTGCCACATGCCAGTGTGCTTCCTCAGTTCGGACTACAGATATGTGGCTCTTCCACAATGTCGTCACCCAGAAATTCATAAGACGAGGATGAAGAGCTGGAGATGCCGATGAGCGCTGATTACGGGCGACTTTATTTTGGTTCGGAGCTGAGTCGCGAGGCGCTGCTCGGTTTGCTGAGCGGGCCGTGTCCATGCCAATCTGAAGATCTGGCAAACGGACCCTTGCTTTGGGTTATGACGATAATCTCAAACTTGACTCGTAATTGATCAGCGAGAATAGCATATAATTTGCGATGAAAGGCCCGTCGGGAGCTGAACAGGTCGCACATGGCGAGACATGCTGTTCGTATTAGCAAGTGCGCCGCCCATCAGACGAGGAATAACAGTGTTGTTCGGGCACTATTTCTTCTTGGTGATAGGGATAAAGGCGGCCTGGCGATCACCCGAAGACTGCCGGCCGTTGAAGCGGAAGAAGGAAGCAAAAAAGCGCCAGTGTCATCTTGACATGGCTGAAATGTTTGCTTCTACCTCGTGCGATTAACGCCAGGCTTGAACAGCCACCGAGGGGGGACAACGCGCTGTCGCACGAGGGTGCCAAGTGGCAACCGTTGCCTCGAGTAAAATGAGACAGGCAATTGTGTGTGTCTCTGGATTAGGGTCCGGCCCAAGGATGTCGTGCGAAGGAGGGGGGCTCAAATCTCGTGATGGAATTGTTTCCTTCTCGATGTTCGCTGCCAAGAAAGAAGGTGAAGGCTCAGCTAAGTGCCTGTAGTGCGAGGGCTCGTTTTGACTGCTGTGTCTGCATGTTAGTATTCGTACATTGGCACCTCATCACTGGGTAATGGCGCGAGGCTCAGCCGCACGAGGTATGTTTGTGGGCGCTGAGCAGCAGCGGAGCGTTGGTCTTTCCGGGATCCATGTGAGGATGCATGTGTCGCCCTACAAATAATCTCCTTGGATCGCCAGAATATTCGCGGGGTTTGTTCTCTTGTTCCTGGCGCACAGAGAGCATGGTGGCCGGTCATCCCGATGACAGCTGAGCCAACTTCCAAGCGGGTACGAATATCCGTAAGGTAGCGAGGGTTTGCTCGGTACCACGGCCGAATGACAAGGAGAAGAATAGCAATCTCGTGGTTTCATCGTTTCTAGCATCTACGCGGCGCAAATTTGCCGCAAAAATGGGCATGATTGCTTCGTGAACCGTGATTGCTTCTTTCGTCTGCGCACCTTTACGCAACAATGGAACCAGATTCCAGAGCTTACTGCGCATGCGTAGAGGTGCAGAGGTCTGGCGCAGCTATCCTGCCGTGGCTGCCGTGGATTGATCCCGATATCCATATTAAAGATGGCCAGCAGATTGTAGGGCAAGATGATCCGGGGTCGGGTGGCCGGAGGATGGGTGATAGGTTGAAAGAGGCAAAGACAAAGCGTCCGTTGCGGCGCCGGTGTGTTATCCCCTGGTTCAAATTGAGAAGTCGCTCTCTGTGGACGTTGATTGTGACTTCCTCGTCGGAGCCGGCGCCTGCTGGGAATTTTGGCTTCCAGAGGGACTTTACTGCATTAGGCGGGCAGCTTGCAGATGCCTGACGTTAGCGCAGATCCCAGCCGCCCGTTCGGCCCCATCTGACCTTCTGGTCTGGCGGCGGACACCATTTCCATTGGTCAAAAATATCAAGAGCCGTCAGGGGGAAAGGAGCGTGATTGGCTCTTGCATTGTTCCATGCAATTGGATCCCACCCGGGTGGAGTACGTACCTAAAGTGAGATCTCCTCCTGCCCCTCTCTCGACCCCGTTCCTGCCTTCCCCCGAAGTACCTTTCAAAAGGGGGCAAGAGGGACGCACAACCAACGGCTCAAGTACCCAAGTTCTTTCCCAAGTAAGGCAAAGTACCATACATGGGGTTTATCCATACTGCGCTGCTCCTTCCATTATGCGCTGGTATGGAAGCTACGAGACCAGGGGAAGGAATGGAACGAACGGAGTAACGGCAGTGATAGCCAGTCACAGTTGGCGTGTTCGTCCCTCCTTCTCAAGTAAGGCGAGTTTCGTTCTCTTCCTCCTTCCCTCCCCCCACACCGGGACAGGAGCATCCCGTCACACCGTGTCATTGGCTGCAGATCCTCAGACGAAAGAAAGAAGGGGCTCTGAGATTCTTGCCCTGGGGAATCGAGGTGTCTGTTCTCTTGGCTTGACATTTTCTTCTTGTCCATCTAAAAGACTCCAGTTCATCATCTCCATTTTCTACTCCATACGACCACTAGGCCTCGGATCCATCTGTGATCATCTGCAATGCGGATATTTGGTTGCTCCTTTGGGTCGTTAATCAAGTGGCCCCCAATTTGCCCATGCCCAGCACGGTGGCTGCGGTTGTGGATGCAACCGCCGGTACCTGCATATCGCGTTTGTCAATCTGGAGCCATTCGCGGTATTTCCATGATTATCTTAGTTACCTTACTCAGTACGGCACATGTACTGATCAAAAGTAGTGTAATTCTGCAGGCTACGCCGGTACACCCCGAGCTATCGCATCACACCGTCCTTCACATCTCCCGCCAAACCGTTGGTGCTAAATGCTTGGTGCCATGCACGATGCGCAACGATGCAGCCGTAACCCGAACGTGGACTGGCCAAACAGCCTGCAATGTGGTGTCATCGCCGTGATCCTCCATTTCGGCTGGCTCGTAAGGCCAGCGATACAAACGTGAAGCAGCCACAAGTTTCCAACAGCAGTGTCTGACCAGCTTGCGCCGCTGCGCCGCCAGCACCGGCTGCCCGACACATCGAAATGCATCGCAGCGGCGCATCGCACGGCGCAGCATGGTCAATATCCCCCATCCGCGCTTCGTCATCGCACCTCTCCGCTGGGTCTCTCACAGTCATAACTCATCTCGTCCCATGCTCAGCAACCCAATTCCATCTCGCAGACTCGCACTGGCATTGCCGGCCATCCTCGCATTTAGTCTAACCCAGTGCTGCAATGGTCCATCTGCAATGTCCGTACCCATATGGGTCGGTCTCCTCTTCTGCGATGGATCCAAGGCCGCCGCTTCGCCTCTCTGTTCTGGTCATTGCTTCATGCTTCTTTTACGCTATAGTCTGTCGTTGTATAGACTATAGAGTAGAGTACAAGAAATTTCGCCTTTTCGCCTCTCGCTTCTCGTATACCCTCGACTCCTGCGTCCGCCGTCGTCTGGAGTACAGCAGAAAGGCGTCGTGGTTGGCTCCATGGAGTCAAGCATCAAGCATTGGATGATATGCAAAGGGGGCAAGGCCGCGAGGGGCCAAGCGGCAAGCGGCAAGTCTTTAGGTACCTTTTCCTGTGGTAGCCAAACGTCGAGGGGTACAAGCCACCTCCCACACCACCGGTACATTCGCCATGTACCCAGCCTGCCCACGTCACACGGCCAGCAGGATCCTGGTCGCGTCGCGCTGGCCCGGCCCCTTGAAGCAGTGCCTTAATCTATTCCAACCCACATCCAGAGCGATCCCGACCACACACACTGTTCGCTCGACCACTGCCCTGGGGCATATCGCCGTTCCATGCTGGAAGGATTGAGGGCACATACGGAGTACCTTACCACCCTACCTAGGCTGGCCGCCAGAGCCCTGGTTCAATCGTTCAGTGGTTGCGTCGCAGTGGCTGCACCTCGGAGACAGGAGGCGGCTGTCGTCCGCTGTCACTAACACAATCTCGAGCCAAGAAGGAGAGTTTCAAGAGACCCCTCAATCAGAGGCCAGAGAAGCAACGACGCTTACCCACCAGAAGCCCGGTCATGAGGTCCACGACTCCTTTGTAGCGGCAGTCAGTGCCCTCGTCTGGTCTGAGCATTGGCGCAATGAACAGATGAATTCTAAGGTAGGAACCACCAGACGAACACCTGTTACTGGCATTTGCAGACGCAGCGTTGCTCAATCCCAGACCCCTGATAGTGAGCGCGAGAGATAGAGAAAGGTGTATGTACTATGTATGTTCTCAAGGAGAACGGGAAGAGAATGCGCCATTTCTTCTCGTGACCCCATGCTCCCCCATTTCCTTTGCCTTTGCTTGGCTATCCTCGTCGGGAGGTAGAACCAAACCAAACGGGGCTAAGAGCGAGGAGAGAACAACTTGAGCAAGCGCTCCATCTCATCTCATCTGTAAGAAGTCACTGCCCGCTTCCCCCGTTTGTTCGCTCGTTCCCCCCAGTGGCCAAGAACGGGGATCAATGGAGATGAGCCATGGCATGGTGGTGCCTGCTTTCCAAAGTAACCTACGCAGTACGGATAGTGACTACTGCGTAGCGTCCAAATGAGAGTGCAAGAGGAATAGGAACACCTGAGCAAGGCGAAAGGGGAGTGGAAGAAGTTGCCGTAAACTGCACAGCAAAAAGGGCTCCAGCAAGTTAGCAACCTCGTTCGGCATCCCATCCCTCGACCCCTGTCTTGCGCCCCCCGTTCACCCTTCCCACCCCCCTTGAGAGTTCCCGCCTTGCATCCCACCACCAGAAATGCCATATCCTCTAGCCATGTCTCTCACTCCACCTGCCCACCCGTTTCCTTCTCTTTAGATGCCCTTTTTCTGCATCACCTTCATTCCAGTGTTCACCTTCTTGTCCCCTCGTTTCTCCCCCTCCTTTCGTCACCTACACGGGGTCTTTCGACTGTCACTCTCTCAAATCACGCTCACTCTCAACGCTCGCTCTCTCGCACTTGTGGCCTCGCCCTTCCTCTTAGGGTCGTCGCACTCAGCCATTCCTTTTTCTGTTTTTTAAACCTTGACAAAAAAAAATCCACAAGCTGCGGATTACGCTCCTTTTCTTGGCTTTCCTGCTACTCGTAGTCAGGACTAACCAGCACATTCATTTCTCTTGGACCCCGTTTGGTGTGTGTGTTGATCGCATTTGTTTCTCGCCTCGAACTTTCGGGCAAACTCATAGGAGGATCGACAAGACGAAAAGCCGAATTCGCCAACTTCTGGTATCATCGTAACGGTTTTCCAACCTCCCGCTTCCTCGCAACAAGACCTTCCGACTAGCGTCTTTACGACATCGTCTTACACCGCGCATCGCCTCGCAACCACCTCGCGTGTCGATTTTTCGACGCCAACACGAATAGATCAATCAACTTGTCGTAGTAGGAACGTACTCTGTGACGGTATAAGAAAAGGAATCAACAATTTCGTCGCCAAATTCGCCAGATTCGCCAACCTGACTCACGGAGATCTGTCTAAGCCGTAGAAACGCACTCACTCAACACATCCCGAACCTGAACTCTGCCGGTGGTGCTGGACATCGACGACGGAATATCGTAGGATCTCTGTGTTGTAGCAGCCTCGAATCAGCATTGCTGAGGATCAAACCCGAAGTCTCTTAGACATTGCCGAGCCCGGTCGAAAAACATCGCCAACTCTCTCACCGAGCCACCGCCGAAGCCTCCACCATTGAAATCCGTCACGTGTCCAGGGAACCAACTCCCAGCCACTGGAAAGCGCAAAAGCTGACGGAAGAAAATCACCTGGAAAGATCAAACTTTTTGTCGTCATTCCGAACAGATTTGCAGGACCCTTTTGTCTCTGACATCTGACCCTGATTTCATTGTTGAAGAGTCCAAAAGAAGAAGTCACAGGTGAGTCGGGTTACACCTGCTCCTTCCTTCCCTCCCTCCATCACCAACTTCACCGACGACCCAATCAGCACCTCGCTTAACCCATCGCACCTTCCCTTCACTTTCTGTTGCTTCCTGCCTTGCTCCTTCCTCGGTGAATAGCAGCCGGGCCTCCATATTACCCACGCGTCGCATCTCTTCTCTGCCTGAGAACTTCCTCACCCACAACACACAACACACCACACCGCACTACACCTCGACGGAAAACTCACAAATATCGTTTGCGCAAAGCTGACCTTCTCAAAGATCTCTCATTCTCCAGCCTTCCTTCAAGAATCCAACTGGGCTTGGACTTTCTTCAGATCTTTTTCAAGACCAGCAAACGGACTTGTCTTTCAGTCGAATTTTTCTACTTTGATACCCATTCAACCCTTGTATCACCTTATCTCACCTCACCCTTCACATCTCTTCACCACAACCTTCCCCTCGACAATATTCATCAATCGCCACGATGAAGTTGTCCAACACCCAGGCTCTGGCTCTTGTCAGCGCCCTCATCAACAGCGCCGAGGCTTTCTGGCGCATGGAGTGCCCTGGCCGCGTTGGCCTTGCTCGTGTCGACCCTCTCATGTCCTTTGGTGGCGCCGCTCCTCACGTTCACGCTATTCACGGTTCTGGCGGTAAGTTTAATGAATCCTTCTGATATTTGAACTATGCGCCTGCCTTCTTATCGCCACAGCATCACTATTATTTTATTTCCATGGGTCGCTTACTCCAGAATCAGGCATCTCTCCTACCGCTGACTTTGGCGACCTTACCGCCAGCGACTGCACTTCCTGCCGTGTCAAGCAGGACAAGTCGGCCTACTGGCACCCGGCCCTGTACTTCCAGGACTCTGCCACTGGAGAGTTCGAGCTTGTTGATCAAGTTGGAGGATTGCTTGCGTAAGTCTCTCATTGCTCTCGAAGCAGCACACAAAGTACTTGATACTGACTGCACCAGGTACTACCTTCTTAATGGAAAGGATATCAAGGCATTCCCCCCTGGCTTCCGCATGATTGCCGGCGACACCAACCGCCGCAACTACACTGCTGGAGACCCTTCCAAGCCCGACCCCCAGAAGTCCGAGTGGGCTATCCTCGGCCAGACTGACCAGTCTGTTCTTCGTCAGCGTGCCATTGGCTTCAACTGCCTCAACTATGGCCGTGACCCCGAGGGCACCCTCTACCGTCACTTCCTTCCCGACAAGACTTATCTCGATGCCAACTGCGCTAATGGCGTTCGGTTCGAGATGATGTTCCCTTCGTGCTGGAACGGAAAGGACGTCGACTCCACTGATCACAAGTCTCACATGGCCTACCCTGACCTTGTCATTGATGGTACCTGCCCTGATGGATTCGAGACCTCGACCCCCAACCTTCTGTACGAGGTCATCTGGAACACCTACGCCTTCAAGGACCGCTCTGGCCGCTTCGTCATTGCCAACGGTGATACTCAGGGATATGGATACCACGCCGACTTCATTTCCGGTTGGGATGAGGACTTCCTCCAGTCTGCCGTCGACACCTGCACCAACCTGTCCGGTCGCATCGAGGACTGCGCCGTCTTCAGTCTCCAGGACGAGGCCACTTCCAAGCAGTGCGAGATGAAGGTTCCCGATCTCGTCGCCAAGGACAACGTTACCGGCCCCGATGCCCAGCTTCCTGGAAACTGCCCCATCACCTACGCTGACGGCTCGTCCGAGGGCGGCAACGCTGACCCCGTGAGCTCCACTTCCACCATTGCGGCTCCCACCGTTCCCACTCTCACCTACAAGCCTGGCAAGACCGCTACCTCCAACCCTCTCCCCGGTGAAGTGTTCAAGGAGACTGGCAAGATTCCCTACGGCTCATCCAGCTCTGTCTCCGAGACGGTTGCTGCTGAGGCCGTGGCCACCCCTACTCCTGAGCCTACTCCCACTCCCGAGCTCACTCCCACCCCGGTCTTTGAGCCCATCACCACTTCTACTCCGGCCAGCTCCTCTGCTCCGGGTATGTCTTGCGTGTCTACTCAGACCATCACTGCGGTCAACACCGTTTCCATCATCTGCTGGGAGGAGGACATTGTCTACGTCACTGAGTACGAGGATATCACGTCTACCCTGACTGTGACTCCTACTCCGTCGGCCTCGGCTCCCGCCATGCGCGCCAAGCGTCACCTTCACCAGCACCGTCATCACCACGTCTAGGTGATGAAAACGTGTTTTTTCAATTTCTGGAGTTGAGACTCCCTCTTGTATCTGGGTGCGAAAAAAATCAGGGTTGCGGACGTCGTTTTTAAGGGACGCCACATCAGGATGTGGCGGTCTTATTCTCTCTATCCAGTGGAAAACCTAGCCCATTGAGATGATTTGGCTTCCCATTGGTTCTCTCGCATCTTGCTCAAGGACATTATCGTTGTTGTCTGGACATTCTGAGCAGACGGACACTTTTTTCCTTCTTGGTGGTAGCTAGCAAGGTTCGGGCACGACATGGCCTGCGTCATGAGTTTACGGCAATCATTAGGAGGCAAATCATCAAGTTGAGTTGGTCCTTATAACGTGTTTCTTCTTTTCATGGTAGTCCGAGTGAGGCGGGCGTCGTAAGGGGGGGATTGCATTTGCATCGCATTGATTGCGTCCATGTTGTAGGCGTTGTAGGTTGATGTTTGAGAGATACCTATTCGCATTAAGGTTATTCCAACGAATCCATCCACAAGACACTTCCCTCCCGGAGCCATTGCGTGAGAAGTTATCGCCCGTCTAACACCAGGTCGCCCCTCCACTTCTATCAGTAGCATATGTGACAGAAGCCCACATCGCTTGATGTTCGGCCTTGCATGCCATTATGGTCCCACTGTTGACTGACCTCCTGATGAGTCGATGATAAAATGTCAAAAATTAAGCATAGTATAGGCAGGGAAGCAGAACAGTAGTCCATGTCTGAATATGGCCAAATCTCGCGCTAGCAGACTGAGTCAACGACAACTGAAAACGCAAAGTAAAGGACGGGCAACATCTAAATAAAAACGAATTCATTCTTACTCCGCCTTTGCCTGGCACATTTCATAAGAACTCAGAATCCTGCCATCTATACAGTTTCCCTAAATGCATTTTGGAGAATATGAGCGTGGGTTTCATCATCACCGTTCTTTCAGTAGGGGAAGATACCTTAGGAGGAGGTACCTTATTCAACACGACCCGTGGTCTAATCGGGGCGTGCCTGTCTACCATCAGCCATGTCGCCTTCCCACGGAAGGAACCACCCGACCGAGGGAAGGCGCCGACTGGATATGATGGTTAGGAAGGAGAAGGACAACCTGGGCGCCCACATCCCCAGGTTACTATTAAAGTATTAAACTCCTTCCTGGCAGATTGTGATGTTTTGTCTTGAGGATTTTGAAGAAGTTGGTAAGGGAAC